AATTCATACCAAGCATCTTCTCAGACATTTACACCATGGAATACTATGCAGCTGTAAAAAAGAAGCATCCCTTACCCTTTGAGACAGGATGGTGGGACCTGGAGAATAATATGCTAAGAGAAATAAGCCAGTCAGAGAAAGACAAGTGTCACGTGATCTTACTCATATGTGGAATCTAATGAAGAAAATATACTGAACAAAATAGATCCAGAGACATAGAAGCATGGAACAGACTGAAGAATCTTAGAGGGAAGGTAGGGTTTGGGCGTGAATGGGGAGAGATTAACATAAGAACTTATATGCATATATGCATAAAAAGCTACAGCAAGTCACGTCATAATCAAATTTCTCAAAACCAGTGAAAAAGAGAAAATCTTAAGTGCACAAAGCATGTTTCATATGGAGGAATAAAAACAATAACAGATTTCTGAATGGAAACAACACAACTGAGAAGATACATAGTCGAATAACACCTTTGAAGTACTGAAACAAAAACACTATCAGCCAGAAAAAGAATGAAATCTTGCCCTCTGCAACAACATGGATTGACTAGAGGGTATTGTGCCTAGTGAAATAAGTCAGTCAGAGAAAGACAAATGCTATATGATTTCACTTATTTGTGGAATCTAAAAAACAAAATAAACAAACAAGCGAAACTGAAACAGACTCATAGATACAGAGAACATTTTGGTGGTTGATGGATGGGAGGGCATGGTGGGNAAAATGGGACACCTGTAATGCTTTCAACAATAAAGATAAATTTAAAAAAATAAATGACATACTAGATCAGATGGACTTAATTGACATTTACAGAACATTTCTATAAGTGTAATTTAGCAGAACATTCTGCTCAGGTGCACATGGGACATTCTCAAAGATAGACCACATGTTAGGACACAAAACAAGTCTCTACAAGTTCAAGAAGATTGAATTCATACCAAGCATCTTCTCAGACATTTACACCATGGAATACTATGCAGCTGTAAAAAAGAAGCATCCCTTACCCTTTGAGACAGGATGGTGGGACCTGGAGAATAATATGCTAAGAGAAATAAGCCAGTCAGAGAAAGACAAGTGTCACGTGATCTTACTCATATGTGGAATCTAATGAAGAAAATATACTGAACAAAATAGATCCAGAGACATAGAAGCATGGAACAGACTGAAGAATCTTAGAGGGAAGGTAGGGTTTGGGCGTGAATGGGGAGAGATTAACATAAGAACTTATATGCATATATGCATAAAAAGCTACAGCAAGTCACGTCATAATCAAATTTCTCAAAACCAGTGAAAAAGAGAAAATCTTAAGTGCACAAAGCATGTTTCATATGGAGGAATAAAAACAATAACAGATTTCTGAATGGAAACAACACAACTGAGAAGATACATAGTCGAATAACACCTTTGAAGTACTGAAACAAAAACACTATCAGCCAGAAAAAGAATGAAATCTTGCCCTCTGCAACAACATGGATTGACTAGAGGGTATTGTGCCTAGTGAAATAAGTCAGTCAGAGAAAGACAAATGCTATATGATTTCACTTATTTGTGGAATCTAAAAAACAAAATAAACAAACAAGCGAAACTGAAACAGACTCATAGATACAGAGAACATTTTGGTGGTTGATGGATGGGAGGGCATGGTGGGTGGGTGAAAAAGGTGAAGGCATTAAGAAGTACAAATTGGCAGTTACAAAATAGTCATGGGATGTAAAGTGCAGCATAGGGAATATAGTCAGTAATACTGTAATAACTATATATGGTATCAGATAGCCACTAGATTTATCCACTTTGTAAGTTACTNTCTTCTCAGACATTTACACCATGGAATACTATGCAGCTGTAAAAAAGAAGCATCCCTTACCCTTTGAGACAGGATGGTGGGACCTGGAGAATAATATGCTAAGAGAAATAAGCCAGTCAGAGAAAGACAAGTGTCACGTGATCTTACTCATATGTGGAATCTAATGAAGAAAATATACTGAACAAAATAGATCCAGAGACATAGAAGCATGGAACAGACTGAAGAATCTTAGAGGGAAGGTAGGGTTTGGGCGTGAATGGGGAGAGATTAACATAAGAACTTATATGCATATATGCATAAAAAGCTACAGCAAGTCACGTCATAATCAAATTTCTCAAAACCAGTGAAAAAGAGAAAATCTTAAGTGCACAAAGCATGTTTCATATGGAGGAATAAAAACAATAACAGATTTCTGAATGGAAACAACACAACTGAGAAGATACATAGTCGAATAACACCTTTGAAGTACTGAAACAAAAACACTATCAGCCAGAAAAAGAATGAAATCTTGCCCTCTGCAACAACATGGATTGACTAGAGGGTATTGTGCCTAGTGAAATAAGTCAGTCAGAGAAAGACAAATGCTATATGATTTCACTTATTTGTGGAATCTAAAAAACAAAATAAACAAACAAGCGAAACTGAAACAGACTCATAGATACAGAGAACATTTTGGTGGTTGATGGATGGGAGGGCATGGTGGGTGGGTGAAAAAGGTGAAGGCATTAAGAAGTACAAATTGGCAGTTACAAAATAGTCATGGGATGTAAAGTGCAGCATAGGGAATATAGTCAGTAATACTGTAATAACTATATATGGTATCAGATAGCCACTAGATTTATCCACTTTGTAAGTTACTTAGTGTCTAATCACTGGGTTGTATACCTGAAACTAATATAATATTGTATGTGAACTACAATTGAAAAATAAAACATGATTTCATTTATTGATTTATTTTTAAAATATTCAAATAGAGGAAGGGAGAGGGGAGAGAGAGAGAAGCATCGACTGAGTGAAACATCGATCCTTCGATTGGTGGCCTCCTGCAAGTCCCCTACCATGGGCATGTGCCCTGACCAGGAATCAAACCCACAACATTTCAGTGCCCCCGGCAATGCTCCAACCAACTGAGCCACACAGACAGGGCGAAAAATAAAACATGATTTTAAAAAAATGGATAAATAAATTGGACTTTATCAAATGAATAATTTTTTTTTTACTTTTTAATTTAAATTTAATATTTTCTTTTTCCTATTTATTGGGTGACACTGGTCAACAAAATTATAAGGGCTGCAGGTGCAGAATTCTATAACACATCCATCTGTACACTGTATTTTGTGTTCACCATCCCAAGTTAAGTCTCCATCCACCATCATCTATCCCCCT